AATGTTAGAAGAGACGCATGAATTTTATTACACATTATTGTTGCTTGCTTTGAGGTGGTGTCCTTCGTTAAAATGAATACCTGTTGAAATTTATTTTTCTTCACGTGTGTGTGTTTGTTTACATTGTATTATCGACATTCGTCTAAGTTGTGCAAGGTTATTTGAAAAAAATGAGAGAAAGAAAAAAAAAACTTTGTTTAAACTATGTCAGTTGAGATTTTTTTTAATTCCGTTCGCTGTATTGTTACATTCGGAAGTGCTTACAAGTAATAATATGCGAATTCACAGCTGTTTAGTTTACGCTACCATGGGCGATATAAGAATACAAAGAAGCACCGTAGATTTATAAGGGTGTGGGTGTAGGTGTTGATGTCGGGTGTTAGTATGGGTAGGTGTGGGGGTGAACGTAGGCATAAGTCTTTTCGTGAGAAATATCCACAACCCGCACCCACATCGATACCCTTTTTCAATAATAAACATTTCATTCGAAATAAGCTCTTTGGTTTATCAATTTTCAGAATAAGAAAATGTATAGCGGCTTTTACCTCACTTTTCGACATTTTTACTGTCGATATTTTTAGTTTCAATTAAAGTTAAATTAATCTCTAGAACATCTGGGCACAAGGTACAGATGTTGTTACAGTGAAAAATACGCAAAGTATGGAGATCGAATGCGTACATGAAAGACTACATAAATGCTGTGCTTTACACCGCATTAAAAAGAATACATTTTCTGCTTCTTTGTGAAATGCACATGGAAATAGCCAGCGAAGTGTTGGAAAAAGCATCCTACCTCACGATAGGCGATCGAAAACTGTTGGTGAACCATGGTTCTTCTGCTTGAATGCTTCTTTTATATCTCGAGGCATGAATTTCTTTTATTCTCAGAAAAATTGCAAGATCTTAATGGATAACTCTCTTTATTAATTGTAAATGCACTCGAGCACTCTTTACAAGCCACATCAATTGTTCTGATTTACTTTAAGAGTTTGATTATCTAGTACAAATAGCTCCACCATAATTAATCATGAGCCAAAAATAAAATCCACAGAAATACTACCAGTGTCATCTAAGAAAACATGCTGTAACCTATAAAATTTGTCATTTTTGAGGTAAAATCGATGTTTCAATTACATACAGAATGAAATTTTTACTACAAATAAACTAAATTTAATATGAAAAGAATACACCGTCTGAATCAGTGATTGTTTTGGTAATTGTGGTTAGCCGTTGTTTTTCTTGAAAAAAAAAATGACTTCGGATGAATCGTACAGATAATGCATTTAGATTTTGTTTGTCAAACTTACAGAAAAAGGGATTCGGATATTCAGTGAGTCAAAAAATTATTCTCTTCTGTGTAAACACTAAATTTTTGTCGAAACGTGTGTGAGTGTCGATAGATGACGTTCAAATTTAGGTAACTCCGTAGATTCGAGACGCCAAACGATGCGCAAGACCTATTTATAGATATTTTTACTCTTTATGGGATTTACTGTGATTATACAAATTGGTTATAGCCATACATTCAGTTGAAGGAATTACGAATTGTGTGGAACTTGTACAAAGAGCAACAATATTTTTTTCCTTATGGATTGCATTCTTTGTATGAACAAAACCTTTATTAAATGTCGTATGTAGCGGGTTTAGAAAGAGATCCTGTCATAGGATGTTTTTTTATGCATTTATCAGGCAATACGTTAAAGACTTAGTATACTTCATCGATTTCTAGATGAGAAGGTAAAGAAGATATTCAAGATATACTCTTATATCTCTATTGACAATATATCGTACATTTCAACATATCTTAAAGTGTACCCATTGATGTGACAAAAAAAGAACGCACACAATCTGCGTGGCCGTTGTTTTAGCTACTGCAACGCAGTTACATCGCAACTGCGTGACATGCGATCGTAATCGAAAACGTGAAAGACTCCAGGTTAGTTATCGTAAAAATAGAGACTATTAATCTGATGCCAAAAATGTAGATTTATTTTAATGAAGTGTTTTTTTTTGCACTTTTCTTATATGTATGTTATGCATTGAATTATTTGTAAGAATAGCTCTTATATTAAGTAGAATCTGACAAAGATTAAAAAAAAGACAAATCTGAAATAGAATTTCGCATGAAAGAAAAGACTTTATTCGAGTGCGGATTCATACTCAAATGTTATTAATAAGAATTCTAGTTGTTCATGAATTTACATGTGTTTTTTATTGATTGATTCTATTGCTTTTTGTTTATGCTGAACTCAACAATCATCTTATTTTATGATTTATAATTATCAATCTCATTCAGTGTATTGTTTACTCATACATTTTCATTTGTAATCAACAACTACTCATCATATAGATAACAATTGATCTACCTTTTTAGTTAATATTAGTATTGGCTAGCATTTTAAAACTACTTTCTTTTCGTTCTTTTTTGATCAACGACTTTTAAAATAAAGCCAAAATATAAAAACAATAGTTTGTTTGAAATGCATGATTACAAGTTTCTGTTTATTCCAAGTCGCGCCGTAATTTACTTTTATCTCTCAATAATAATTTTATAATTTTTTTCATTACATAAAATTGCTGATAAATGAAGAAACATCAATGTAAAAGTCAAAAATCTTTGATTACCATTCGTAAATGGTTATTAGAATCAGGTGATGGTCCATCAACATCAATTCGTATTCCATCCTCAAGAATGAAGCATAGTATACAACAAAAGCCATATTCAAACAAAGTCGTAAAAAGAAAACGACTCAATGATCAAAAATATTACTCACATACAACATCGTTAATCGATTGGTTTTATGAATTTATCAAAAAAATCTTTTTAGTTTATGATGAGAGGCAATCGACATGTGACGAGCAAATACATCATCATGCAATCGATGACACAACTGTATCGATGATGACATGTTGTTCTACTTGTCAAATGGAAAATATTGATTCATACATAAACACGTATATTTTATTCTACACAACTAATTAATTATTTTTATTCTTATTTATTCTTCATAGTATTCAATCAACATTGAAATCTAGCAACAATAATCTAGTTGTACATCCCAAGGTCAACTCTAAAATAATGGTAACAATTGCAACCAGTAGTTCTAATCTGAACATTACTCCACAACCGATCATTGTTCATTCATCAAAATCTACTCAAACTCAAGCAAATCCTAATAAACAACATTCAACTGTTTATCCACTCTATTGTTTTTCTATAAAAGATGGACAAATATTGCCTCTTATGTTATCATCATTTTCGTCTTCAAAAACCATTCCAATAATCAAAGAAGTACCTTCTTCATTTTCGTTTTGTATCAATAATGAAAAAGCCGAATATTGTAGTAAGACTATTCATTAAAAAAAAAGAATATTATTCATTTTCTTTTTTTTTGTATTGGTAGATCCTCCTGTTGATTCACCGATTGCAACACTAACAGCTGATATCCATACTCATTCGTCTCATCATCCAACTATTGCATCAATTACAAGTTCAAATTCAAATACTATTTCATTAAAAACAACTCAAAATCCTATGAAAGATGACATATTATCAAAAATTCATCGTCCTTCATTATCACTACATGATACACGTATATGTCATTTTGATAAACGTAATTGTTTAATTGAATGTTACCATTCATCAAATGCAGAGAAGCATCCATCAAGTTTCTATCGTTCTTCAAGTACAAATACAAATGCTCCTGAAGTTGTCTTTGCAGAAAGTACTTGTCAATTAATTAAACAAGCATGGCTATCATCCATATCTGATCAATAAGTGGAGTTTTAAACATCGAAAACATAGAAAAACACATGAATATAATATTGTAGTTCTACAGAATAAAATTTCATATTAGAAAAGAAGGATATTTCATTCATATTTATCATTGAAAAGATTATCGTCATAAATCTATATTCATTTACTGAAATATTTTTTTACCTAATCTCAAACCGAAAAACCAGTTTTGTTGTTAATAACTAGTGATAGCAACATTATATTTATGCGTTCTTCATTAATGGTTAATCCTATTGATTGAGCATTTTCATGGTTTATTGATATTATTGACTCTTTTTTGTTCGACTGTTTGGAGTATAACATTTAAATAGTATTATTTTTAAAGAAAATCATCATTCAACGATTTATTACTTTTAATGATTGCCTGATCGACACGAATGATCCTTCTTAGAGAGTAAACTGATTCAACAAAGCTGTCTATATACATATATAACAGTAAAACTACAACAGATAATGAAAGGATAAACAAGAATAGTGATATATGCCTCTTTCTTTGCTATAGTTATTTAATTCTAATAGATAATTTTGTTCGGTATATTTTTAATGTTTTCTTAATGGATAATAGAATGTGTTTTTTATTTCTTTGAAAGAATAACATTACTAATATCTGTCAAGTAATTCAATCTGTTCGACAAATGTGAATGTTTGGGTATGATTTAATGAATCGATTGATAAATGTCTTATTTTTCTTGCATCATCATCAGCAGTTGCATAAAGTTCAAATCCAATAAATGTAAATGCATGTGTTATAGCAGCTGTTCTATGGACAAACATTTAATCACATAGTAAACAAGTAGATGTAATGAATAATTTGAATTGTGCACTACCTGAACATGTTTTAGTAACTGTACGACACTTACGAACATATAGGAGTCCGTTAATGATGAAAACAGCTGAATATCATTATTTGGATCGATCAACAGTAGCTGAATCATTTTTATTCTTTCATTTTATTACATGAAAATTATGAGCAAAATCAAAAAGTTCCTAAAACGCAAGAATGAAAATATTACCAATATAATTTGGCAACGATTCGTGAACTATTAGATATAGTAGATTCTACAGATGAATATTTCTAAGATGATGAATATGATCGATTAAGACATTGGAAAAGTTAAGCTGTTGATCAAGTTCTTGAATTTGATCTTATGACAGCCACTGGATATTTTCAAATAGAAAACGAATGTGAAAATACTGATTTAGGTTGAACCTTACAAAGTAAGCTTTCTCTAAGTTTTAAAATATTATTTTCTATTGTATTACATACTTATACATCTCTATTTTTTATTGAAACTTTTCATATAGGCAATAGACTAGATGAAACTCAACATATTTATTACAGATATTGACAGATGCTGAACGAACAGATAATTTTTTTTTACAGTTAAAAAGTTTATGCTAACATTTTTATTATGGGGCAGTAATATAGGCAATTTAACAAAAAGAAACCAAGCAATTACTGAATAATTATACTGATTTTAATTCAACAAGATTTCCTATGGCTAAAAACAAGTCATTTCTTAATGGACGTCTTGTATTTGGTGATCATATATGTAATGTCTTACAAGAGTAATATTAACCTAAAATTAGTATAGATTTCTTCTTCACATAATTTTATTCATAGTTATGACCTTATAAAACATCTGTTGAAGAACAACAAAAATTATTTGAATATGTCAGAATAATAATCAGAAGTTATTTACAAACAATGACTATTCGTTAAGTTGATTCTAATTAAGCAAATTTGCAACAAAATTTTTTCCAAACTAAGATGTTCTTAATTAATTGATATGAATCAAACAAAATCATAGGTCTTAATCGATGATCTATTGATAACGATTGTCTTAGAAGTAATAAATAGTTAATATATATATGGCAATTATCCACAATGATTAAATATAAAGACAATGGATCATAAAAGATAATTTCCATTGATGATCAGAGTTTTTCTATTTATTTTGAAATATACATAAAAAGCCAAAGAAAATATTGAAAATGCAACCACCAGGTTAAGAAATACGAATTCAATTATATCACTGTGTTTATATGAAAGAAAAGAAAGCATCAATAGTAAAGAAAAATTAGTTATCTATTCATCCCAATTATTATTTCCACTTTCTATTTCTTGATTTTCACCTTGATCTTGTGACATAATACCGAATTTACTAGAAAATGATGTTGTTGTGATTGTCGATTTGATCTGTTCGTTTGGATGATCTTTATTAACCTTAAACATTGTTTCAAGTTGTTGCATTAATTCAACTGTTTCGACTTTTGGTGTCATATCTTTAAAGAAATCTTCTGTATCTTGTTTTTCTGGTGTTTCACTTTGTATTAATTTCTTTTTTGTTAATACAACAGATGGCATTTCATATTCACTACCTAATGGTGCATTCGGATCCCATTTTGATTTTGAAGAACTCATAAGTTTTAAAGGCTTTAATGCCGATGTATTAGATTTTGGTTGAATTGATTGTTCAGATATTGGTGAAGATAATATTAATGTTTCAGGTAATGTTTGTGAATCATTGATAGATGATTCTGTTGGATCTGGATTATGTTCCCAATCTGACCATTGACCATCATCATTATCAATATCATCTTGAATATGTTCATCAGAAAGTCCATTTTGTATGACAGTTGTTTGTGGTTCTTGAAGAGAATCATTTAATGATAAATGATTTCCATTTGTGTATTCTGGAGAAATGGTAACTGGTTGAAGTGATTCATTAGTGTTTGATTTTGTTTTTGTTGTAGAAGTTGGTTTCAATCGAAGTGGTCTAGAAAAGTACAAAGCATTATTATAAATCAAGAAAAATCTTCATTTACTTTGTTTTATTTGTTGAAACTGGACTAGTTTTTCTTGGTTTCTGTAGAATTGTTGGTGTTGACAATGGAGAATTTGTTCTAGATACATCTTTTGCTGTTTTTGCGAGTGCAACATTCTAATATTTATATTAAAATACTATCATTAAAATTCGAATTCATATACTATGAATACAAACCTCTTTCTTTATTTTATCAGTAAATATTTGTTTTCGTTGTCCACCAATAATTACATCAGCACCTATGACTGGCACCATTGAAGCTAATGCAATTAATGTTAACATACATATTGTATTATTTGAATCTTTAAGTCCATAAATAAGCTATGAAAAATGAAAATATTTAAAATAAATTTTTCATTCATATTAAAATAGATTTTTACTTGTGGAAGAATAATATTGATTACAATTGTTCTGTCTATCAATTGCCAATATGAATTATAATGTTCAAGTAATGTTTCTCGTATACATGTTACATGATAAGAAAATAAATCAACTATATGTGGTATAACATGTAAACGATATTGATCAATTGAAATCCATGAATTATTATTAATATCTTTAGGAATTATTATTCTTGGAATGATGTTTGATCTCGTTAATGAACATAGAAACATAAATGGAAGACATAAACGACGAATTAATAATTCATTAAAATATTCTGTATCCAGACTATCGAGATATGTTGATAGAGAACTTCAAAAAATAGAAATATTAAAATATAAAAAACAAAACAAAACAAAATAAATATTAAATAAAATACGAACTCGACTACATTGGAAAGATCGGATTCATCAACAGTCGGTAGACGATCAAGAAGTTCTATTACTTTAATATAATCAATTCTAGAAACAAATTGAAAGTTTTATGTTTTTCTTTTCCAGAAAAGAAAAAGAACATTTACTGAAAGAATTGTGTTTTAAGAAGCATTTGCCAAGTTGGTCGTGATTGTGGATCTTCTTCAGTAAGAGATATTTGTAAATCATTCAAAAGATTTTTTAATGAATCTAATCAATAAAATAAAATCATCTTTCAAAATAATATTTTCACTTAGGTACATATTCAAGAAAGTTCTAATATCAAAATTGAAATCAAAATAAATGATTTCATTTATGTCTAGCGAAGAAAGGTCCTCAAGTCTGACTTTTCATTTTTAATCAACTTTATGGATTCTTCGTAATAGATTAATTTTTATATTAGTTTAATTGTGATCATTGAAAACTTTAACACTGAATGATCCTTAATTGACTGTACAAATCCCCAAATAAACATCAGTAGAACTTATAACTACATCTAAATTTTGAATATGTCAATACTATTAATAATGTAGGTTTATCAAAGTTTATTATTGTTTTCAAAATTTGTCTCATTTAAATTGTATGTTTATCTATTTATGACATACATTAAAAATGCATGTTAATCATGTTGCAATAACCTCTCTTATCTATTATAATCTTTCACATAAACACACGAGATAATATAGAAAATCTTGATCAATTTTGAAAATTTAGTTCAAGTTCGTACATCTACAATATTAATGATATTGAAATATTCAAAATATAAATGTAGTTAGAAGTTCAGTGTTTTTTTTTTCATTTTTATCAAGTAAACATATACAGTTAATTAATACACATTTAGTATTAAAGTTTTCAATGCTGAGAACTAAATGAACATAAAAAATTAAAATTTTCAAAATGATAGTTTACATTTATTTTCTGAAGTTAAGATCAACACTCTTCAAAGATATTCAATGGAACTTAATGAGTTCTACAAATTAGCATAAAGCTGATCGAAAATGAATATTCACATTTAAGGATGTTTCTTTACAAAGTGAACATGTAAGAAAAAGAAAAATAAGCAAATATAACTAGTTCGAATCTATAGATACACTGATAGAAAGCTACTCAATATTTTGTACTGACTAAATTTTTACAAAACTGCATATCAAAGTTGATTTTTATTTTTAAATCGCTCATATCTATTTTATATACAAATAAAATCTTTTACCATCAACATTAACAATTGTCAGAAGATTACGAATCAATATACCAAAACCATATACATCAATAGCATAAAGTTCTTCTTTATCGAAGTCCGTTGAATCCTATTAAAATATTTAGAAAAAAAAAACAGTCAGATAAATATTCAATAAAATAATATTAATAGATGAAACCTTTTCATTTTCTTCAGGTGTTATACATTCTTCAGCTCGAATAATTTTTAATGATGATAGATACTTTTTATTAAGATTATCATAACGACATGCACATTCAAAATTTCCTAATTTCCATATACCATTTAGAGATATATAAAGTGATAATAAACATATATTATTATGACTAATAGATGCCTATTTAAATTTAAAAAAAAAAGAAACCAACACATAATAAAAATGAAATCAAACTTCGAAGATTTTTTTTTTTTTCTTACTTTTTCATGAAGAAATTCTAATGCTTGAGATAATTGATAAAGACCTAAGCAAATTTTAGCTGATGAATCAATATCATTCGTATGTAATTTATTTGCTAATGGATGTACACAATCAGCAATAAAACTATCTTGATCAACAAATGTTTTAAAACCAGTGAAAAATTTAATTATATTTGGATGACGAATAGTTTTTAAAAACTAAATAAATAAAAATTATATTTAAATTTCTTAATTAATTATTCGATTAGAATCACAATTTATTTCTTTTTTTTTGAAACATTTACAAAACAAATTTAATACAAAATGAATTATCTCTATATGAGATAATTTATTTTCTTTCACTCAAAGACAATTAAGATCTTGCCAAATAAAGTTTCAATCATATCATAGGATTTAAGAAAACTATAAATGAATAATTGATTCATTATTATTTATCTTAAGCATAAATTCTATATTAAATAATATTTCATGTAATTAGAACTATCCATTTGAAAAAAATGAAATAACAATACTTGAATCGATCGTCGACATTCAACAGAAAATGTTTGTTTAGCAATAAAAATTGAAATAGGTTCCGATCGTTCATTAACTCCATTATAAAGTTGCCAACAAACAGAATCATCAAGTGGAATAAGTGTTCGTGCTGTTGATGATGATACATCATTTCCCATGGTATATATATAGAGAGAGTATGGATGATTTTTTTAGTTCTATACTCACAATTTTCAAATCCAAATAGAAAACAAAACAGAACAATTTTACAATTGGATTTTATTTTAAACCTATAAAATATTTTTTACAATACGTCTTTATTGGTATATAACAAACCAATAAAAATCAATGTTAAAATACTTCTTATTGAATCTCGTATATATATATACAATCTAAGTTAATCGATGGGTAAACAACAAGAAAAAAAAAACAACAATATTTGATATGAATACTAAATTTGAATAAACTTATTTAAAATCATGTTTAAAATATGTTCTGTGATAAAGAATTTATTTTAATTTTAATATATTTATTTCTTGTTTCTCATATTTATTCTAATGAGGGACAATTTTCAACACAAAAACGTTTACAATACAAGTAAATCTTTTTCTTCTTGTTTTTTTTTTTTTATTTAAATATATATCTGCATATAAAAATTTTATTTTAGAAATCGTGTTCAACAAATGTTTTATCATGCATATGATTCATACTTAAAATATGCATATCCATATGATGAATTACGTCCATTAACATGTGATGGGTAAGAAACAAATAATTTTGTTTTTGAAAAGTATTTTCTTAATTTTTGTTTTGATTCAATTTTAGTTATGATACATGGGGAAGGTAAAAGAAAATAAATATTTTATTTTGATTGAAGAAAAAAAAACGAAGTTTTCTTCTTGTTAATATAGTTATTCATTGTCACTTGTTGATGCGATTGATACATTAGCTGTACTTGGAAATAATACAGAATTTGCTCGTGTTTATACAATTATTCAAAATTTGGATATTGAACGTGATATAAATGTTAGTGTATTTGAAACAAATATTCGAGGTATTGTTTATTATAGGCTTTTATTGTATCTATTTCTGACTGTAAATCTATCAGATAAGAAACAAAATTTGAGAAATCATCAATAATCAATTAGAAATAAGATCTTACTAATGTCAACATCTAAAAATAATGAAATTATTTCTAAATAATGTTTTCAAAGATTTGCATCAGATGACTTGGGTTGTTCGGAACATTCATTGGATTTAACAGACTATTTAGATGACCTTTAGTGTGATTTATCCCTTTAGATTTGAAAGGAAGATTTTGTAAGGTAACTCGTAGTTTAGTGTATGAAATTTACTAATATGTCTAAGAAAGTAACTATAGAACAATTTATTGAATAAACATATCATTATACTATTTCATATAGAATTTTTCAACGTCTTATTATTTATTGTTTAACTGAATAATCAAATATGACACATAGAGGTCATTTCATCTTTCATTTGTCTCTTTCTCTTTCTTCATTCTCTGTCGTTTGGATCCACATACATAGTAAATCAAGGGATTCTGCAATGTATTCTTTAGTTAGTGACCTTTAACGCACTGTTATGTCCATGATAAGAGATGTTATTCATCATACATTACAATGAGTTTGGAAAGGAGGTCAAAGACAATTATCCATAATTCTATGTCTAAGTTTATCACAGAGTGAAATGAACAAGGTCGTTGCTAAGACGTCTGTCATTATCTATGACAGGAAAGGAGGCGTTGCTAAGGTGTCTGTCGCAGTTAATGATAGGAGTTGAGATGTTATCAAGGTGTCTGTGAGGAATAAGTCCAAATTTCTACCTATTTATGTTAACACGCCTTTTAGATTGTATTTCAAAAATATATAAAAACAAACTGAAACTTACCCATGAAACGATTGGTTGATTCATGAGTGATTCATACTTTGCAGAAAAAAAAAGAAGTTTTCGATATTTTCTGATTTATATAATTGATTTAGTTATTGGTGGTCTTCTTTCTGCTCATCTTCTTGCTAAACGTATGAATGTTTCTGTTGATTCTACATGGCCATGTACAGGACCATTACTTGATCTTGCCGTTGCTCTTGCCAATAAAATTTTACCAGGTAAAGAAAATAATCTTATTAAATCTATTGCAATTTGCTTTTGTTTTTGTTTTTGTAGCTTTTGATACTGAAACAGGTAAATTGAATAAATTCTTTTTTTTCAATTTAAGTAATATTTTCATTTGAAGGCATTCCTTATGGTACAGTAAATTTAGTTTGGGGTGTACCAATAGGAGAAACAAATATAACATGTACTGCCGGTGGTGGAACATTTTTAATCGAATTTGGAACATTATCTCGTCTTACCGGTGATCTAAGGTATGAGCGTACAGCCTTAAAAGCTTTACAAAGTCTATGGTCAAAACGATCATCAATCAATCTTGTAAAATAAATAACAATAATTTTATTAAAAAATTTATAAAAAATATATTTAGATAGGAAATCATATAAATATTCAAACAGGTGAATGGACAGCAAATGATTGTACAATTGGTTCTGGTGTTGATTCTTATTTTGAATATTTAGTAAAAGGTGCAATTTTATTTCGACAACCAGAACTAATAAATATGATGAATGGTAAATAAATTAAATATTTAATTTATTAATAATTTGAAAAATTTTAGAATATATAAAAGCAATTGATATACATATGAGTGATGGAACGGGATGGTTTGTTTTTGCAAATTATCAACAAGGTCGAAAAACAATGCCATTATTTGCATCACTGGATGCTTTTTATCCAGGTTTGTTGGTGAGATAAATTCAAATATATATATATCTATATCTGTATTTTTTCTTTGGTGAATGTTCTTTCTTTTAATACATATGTGCACCTAAGCTGTGTTAAAGATGTGCAGGATAAAGTTTTTGCTTATATGTAATCTGACTGAAAAGAATTTTTTGAACTTGATCGTACTTGACACATGTCTAGTCAATATGGATTATTGCTGATTAATATTCTTATAATGATGATTGAAAAATTTGATTTTAATTTGTTTAGACATTACTTGGTAAACTTGATCGAGCACGTGAAACTTTATATGCATATCATACAATGTGGAGAAAATATGGTTCAATGCCAGAATTTTATAATCTTGCACAACAAGATTGTATGCAAGGTAGAGAAGGTTATCCATTAAGACCAGGTAGAAAAATCAAAATATTTTCTTCAAATTATTCAATTCTAATTTTTTTTTATTATTCTATTAAAATCTTCTAGAACATATTGAATCAATAATGTATTTATCGAAAGCAACTGATGATGATACATTTTTATTTATGGCTGCTGATATATTTGATGCTATTGAATCTTGTTGTAAAACTTCATGTGGATATACATCGGTAAATAAATTATTTTTATTGATTATAAATTTTTAATTGAGAAAAAAAAAAACTAAAATAACCAAAATTTTTTTTAGTTAAAAAATGTAAAAGATCATCATCTTGATAATCGTATGGAATCATTTTTTCTTGCTGAAACAATAAAATATCTTTATTTAATATTTGATGAAAATAATTTTTTACATTCAAATGGAGAATATGCTACAGAACATCGAACATCATTAGGTAGATTTCAAATATGTATTTTGCTTTTTTTTCGTTATTATATTTTTTATATAAAAATAGGTTCATGTTTTCTTGATACGAGTTATATTTATAATACAGAAGCACATCCAATTGATATTGGTTCACTTGATTGTTGTACATCATCATCATTAATAGTTGAAAAATCATCGAATAAAATTGAAAAAAATTTATTGGTAAAGAATAATAAAAAACGAAATTATTTTTTTTTTAAATTATTTTTTTTGTTTTTTTATAATTCTAGACAAAAGAGCAAATGAGATGGTTAGGAAATTCATTATTAAATCAAGATAACGAGAAATTATCTGGTGCAATAAAGACAAATTATAGTTTATTAACCTGTTCATCTTTAACTTTTGAACAGCGTTTTTCTCTTTATGGAGAAATTTTAACGTGAACTTTACTTTTGTTATTTATATTATTTTTGAGGGATAGTAATCATTTTAAATAGAGAAAAAAGAAAAGCTATTATTTGTTGTGTTTTTCAGATTGAATATTTTTTTTCCTTGATGTGGCAATTTATTAAGCGACATCGTCGAAAACTTTTCATTATATCATTACTGACTGGAGGTAAATTGATTTCTTTTGTTCTTAGAAAGTATCGAACTAGTTCAAGGTTAATCAATCGAAAATAGATGAGGAATTTTATGTTTTCATTAATTTAATTCATTATTTTTATTTTTTTAAATAATAATTATTTTCAACATAATAGAAACAAAATCAGTAATTCTATTTAAAAGAATGATTTTCAATTATTTGAAGAGATATTGATTGTCAAATGTGTTGATCGAGCTGTATGATTCATAGACAAAAAAGATTTTCTCTTAATATTTGTAAATTATAAATAAATGATATCTGAATTTTATTCGTTTTATTTTCAAATAAAATCATAATCGAAAAATTCGTTATCGTCATAGTTGTTTATTCAATGAAAAGCATGAAATTGAAGTTCAGCTAGTAATTTCTACTAATGAGTTTATAACACGTAAGAGAACAATTATAGAATCATCGAGAATAACTCATATGTACCAAGAACTCTTCAACCTGTAATTATTATTATGCCTATTCAAAAAACTTCCATCCGAAATTAGTAAACTCAAATTTTTCATTTATTTCGATATTTTACATTAATGTTTGTCTTGTTCGATATTTCAAATGATGCATTATTCCATAGATATTTATTAGAATTATATTTTCACAAGAGAATTTTTTCCTGTAATATATCGAAAACTAAAGACATCAAAAAAGTATCTGTCAAAAATTTTGTATGTTATCTATTTACCAAAAGTTATATAGTTCAGGGCGGAATATAAAAGATCAGAATTCATTAATTTTGATATTCAGTTTTCAACCAAATATTTACTGCCATTTATTGAAATCAATAAATGTCAAGTTAAACTTTCTCATATGTTATGTACATGGTGATTCTGTACAGAATGGTAATGAGTAAAGTATTGTGAAAAAAGTTTTGTACTTGATACAAACAAAAAGAGGTTTATGCTGTAAATAGACAAGTAAATAGCCTCGAGAAAAACGACATCAAACACTTCAGTGTCTGGCATTCATGAAAATTTTCATCTCACACAAAAAAAAATTCAGACTTCAAACTAAATAGAATAACATAAACAGTTCTCTTAAAAAGAGAAAAAGAAAGTATTGGTCTCTCAACATATTCGAGAGGAATACGAAAATTTCGAGACAAAATTTGTTTTTTCATGTAACCAAATAATAATTATTCAGAAAGGTAAGGATTAGAATCTTGATCACAGCAATATGATTTAAGCTCATTATCAATTGTAGTCTAGGATAACCTTGTAATGAAGCACGTGAAGTTTTTTAGCTACCCTATGGCCTCAAGGAGTCTGTAGTATAACACTAAATTACAATTAATAATGAATTTTGATCATAAAATCTGTGATCAACATCCTAATCTCTGTTTATTTGAATGATTATTATTCGGTTCCATGAAAAAACAAGCGTTTCAAAATCTGTATATCTTTATCAGTTTTGATTTTTTTTTGTAAAGGTATTTCCTATGTTATTTTATTCAACTTCAAGTCTGAATTACTTTGGGATGAAAATTTTCATGATTGAAGGACATCAAAAAGTGCCAGACGTTATTTTCTTCTACAATGCTCACTTGAATATTTACAATGTAGACTTTTTTCGCATCGAATACAAATTTTCTTGTACAATATTTTGTATAGAATCAAAAGTTATATTACATATGAAAACCGCAATTTGATGATTATTAAGTCCAATAAATGACGGTTGATATACGATCTAAAATTAGACGATAAAACTGATGAATTCTGACTTTTTCCATATCTCTTGGATTATTTGACTTCGGTAAGTAGATCGTAAATTTTTCTATATATAGAGCGATGCATTACTATTTTGTTGTTAGTGAAGAATTATATTTAAAACGTTGATCAAGGTTAACAATAATGTAAAATATCCAAGTAAACAAAAGATTTGAGTTTCGTAGTTTCGAATGAAAAGCCTTTTGAATGCATATTTAAAAAAAAAAGCAAATTTTAATAAGTACTTCTATTGCTTACTCCTCTCATGAGTTCTCTCTTAATGTGTTACAATTGAAAATTCAATATATGCTTTTCTCATGACAAATGATCTATCGAACTTCAACTATGTGATTTCGTAATAATAGACTTCTAACTTTTTTACATATCATATATATATATATGTACTATTTTTTTAATATTCAGGCGGTTATGCAGCATTCCGTTTTATAAATGGGAAATTAGCGACAATGCTAAATGATCAAGATAAAATGTTGACGGAATGGAAAAAACAACTCTATTACGAACATAATCGTGATACAAGCTTAAGAACAAGTTAGTTAATAATAAATAATTTTTTGTTTTCTAATAAATATTCATATTTGTTAGGTACTGATATATTTGCACAAGTTGTACTTAATATTAATCGTAGATTTCAATGTGAAAATATTCTTGCTAGATTGTCAACAATATCTGAGTATGTTATCAACGAAAAATAAACATAAATTTTTTGGTTTTTTTTTCTTATTTTCTAGTTCGACAGAAAAACGTGAATTATGGGAACAATTGAGAGTTGAATGTAACTATAAAAACAAAATATTTATTCGATTGAAAAAAAAACAAATTTGAATATTTTTTTTTTCTTATATAGGTTTCGCTCGTTTATTTACTTTTGCTTACAGCTCAAGTTTTGTACTAGCTTTAACTGAATTAGTCGTTAGTGCTTTAAGTGGTCGACTATATTCTCAATCTCAATTACAACATTTATCAATAAAAGATAATCCTGTAACAACAGCAGCTGGTGGTGTATCAGCAACAAGCAAATCATCTCATGCTGAAGTAAAACTTAACTAAAAAAAAAGAAAACAAACAATACTAAAATTAAAATCTTTAATTTTGTTTTATTAAATAGTCAACTCAAGATCATAATTCATTACTTTCACGAGATATTCAACTAGCTTGTCTTGATGTTATTCGTTATACAACAGATGCAGGTTCGAATTTTATTTCATTTTTTTTTTCGAATATCATAATCTGTATGCACGATTTATTATATACGAATTGACTTTTCGTTGATTATCTTGAAGACAAGAAATAATCAATACATCGTTAGAAAAAAATCTGAATAAATTTTCGAAAATGTAACATAACATTACTTACAATTAATCATTTTGAAGGTCAATATTCTCGAATGAAAAGAAAACATATGAATTCTTCACATATAAATATTTATATTGTGATTAATTTACTACAAAAAAAAAAACCAATCTTGAGCATCGATTACAAGGATACGAGATGACTTGAGAGCTACAATATCGAAAACGTAAAACTGTAATAGATAAATGCATGAATGTCATATTGATATGTTAGCATTCTTGAAAGCTGCTAAATTGAAATATTTTTAACTTCGATAAAAAAAATTAAACGATCGTCTCTCTCTCGTTGTTTTTTTTGTTTTCACAATATATTGATTGTTGCAATGTTCTACTCATTTGTTCATTATTATTCTTCTTCAAAATAATCAACGAACAATAAATAGTGTAAATCATCGAAATCCTTTTGTTTATTTCTTCTTTGTATGATTTTCTTAGGAATGAATAGTTTGATTGATGATGTACGAAAAGCTGCTCAATCAATTCTTTCAAGGTAAAAAATATTTATTTAAATAAATATTTAAATAAAGTTTCTTTTTTTTTGTTTTGTATTAATTAGAATTCCACTTCAACAAATGCTTGACATAAATGATATTATATGGTATTTTAGTGAAATTCGTCATCAAATTGAAAAAAAACGATATCAATCAGTTAATAATCATCATCCATTACTTAAATATGTTCGATCAATTTCATTTCCAATACGATCAACACAACCAGCAACAACGACAACGTCAGCTTATTCATTTTCCAATATTATCACGACAGTAAGTTGTTTTTATTTTTATTTTTTTGTTAAGACAAATATTTAAATATTCAAAATAATAGGCTAGTTCATTGATTACAAAACGAGTACATTCTCCATCATCGGTTTTTAATGTTCAACAACAATTTGAAATTGAATGTATTGAAATGATTGAAAGGTTTAGTTTTTAATTTAAGAATAATTTATTTATTTATTGAAAATTTTTTTTTTGTTACTAGTGAAACATTTCAACGTGTATTAATTCAAATAATTGATCAAAGTTTTTCTAATATTTATGATGAATTAGCTCGAGAAATGGCTAAAACATCACCAACAATAATTAATTCATCAGAAAATAATTTGTAATTATATATTCACTCAAAAATTTGTTTTTGTTATTTTTGATTTTTAGAAATGATTCAACAATAATTAATGAAGCACAATTACCATTTGCTAAAATAGTTCCTATGAGTAATAATATTTATACAAAATTATCAAGTCATCATGAACAACTTATGCTTCATTTTCAGGTCAGATTTTTTTAAACAAATTCTAGTATTTTAGATTAAATTCAATTTCAAAAGATAAAGAATTTTATTTTTTTCTATAAGAATTGACTACTATAATTAAATATAAAGAATATGTAATGCCTAGAATTTTTACTTTACTAATTTTAAATAGAAATCAACAATAAATAAAAAATTAAATTTCATCAATTGAATTATAATGAATTGAAATAAATAATGAGAAATAAGATTTTGTACTATTTTATAATTCTTATAGTTTTTCAGTATAGTTGTATGAAATAAGACATAGTCGAAATAAATTTTCTTTTCTTTGGAATTTGCCGTGATTTTGAATAATTTATCGCTCTATAACATAGATTTAAAAGCATATCGAGTTTCTATCATAAATGAATAGTAAAACAAGACAATCTTTATATTTGATCAAGATAAAAGTTTTAAAAAAAAACTGTTATGAAGGTACATACTGATCACATACATTTCCTTCGATATAATCGTTATGCAAGTTATAACATATTGATTGCTTATCGTATGAGTGGTATCGTAGTTAGAATTTGTTACAATTTTATAGTAAAGAGATCAAAGAAGCAAGTCCATGTTAGATGGTTTGTTCACCGTTTGCTAAACGAAGTGTTACGACTAAAGTTTAGTTTTTCGAATTTTGGTATCCATCTAGAGAAAAATATTTCAAGATTCATTTTTATTATGTCTGAAAAATTTCCTCAATACTTGTTTTTTCTGTTTTATTTAATCATCGATTAGTACTCTCTGTGTCGTCTCTCTTGAATTATGTTCTTATTGATATCATGTATAAGATAATTCACTTAAAGCCATAGAACATTGAATTACACTCTTCAGTTCCAATTGAGACAGCTTGTTTCTTCTAGTCTTGACTTCGGTCTCAACATCTTCTCTTTCCTATGATACTAGGATCCTAGTGATCGAACTTAAAGTAAAGTTAGTTTCGCATATCTCTAATTACTACCGTAAGTGGTCGAATCTCAATTTGATGACCACTGTACGACATTATAAGATACAGTCATCATACTGTACTTGTCAAACATTAATTTACATCTGTAAACGACTGCAAAATGTATGAAATGACAACATATAGGACCATTGTTTTTTGTCTTATGTACTAAAGTATCTTTTTAATTATATATATATTATTGAATGATATGAAAATAAAATTCTCTATCTTTTGTTAAGCTTTTATCATCAATGTGTAATATTTGAAAAAAAAAACAACAAACCTAAATAAATAAGAGTAAAATCTAACTTAAATTCTTTTATTTTAAAGAGTCTTGCATGTCGACCAGAATTACATGAATATACAAAATATGCATATGATTTATTTTCCAATGAGTCATTACAATCAGCAAATCATACACCTTATTCATTTTTACCATTAACATCATCATCATCATCTTTACAATCTAGTTTATCATCATTTTTACAATCATTGATGTCTCCATAAATTAACTAATTCGTCATTTACTTATTTATGAACATTTTCAAAATAAAAATCATTTGTCTGTATTTAAAAAGTTTTCTTTTCTTTTTTTTTGTTTGTTTTATTTAAGTTGGACAACGGAGAAGAATTTGAAATTTTTCATTTTTTGGTACACGATTAAGTATAAGACGTCCATCATAACTAAGAGATGCTAATAACCAAGGATCATTTGATGCCCATTGAGCAGTATAAACTGATTCTTCATGTTCATCAAATACACGTACTAGACGATCTTCATTTACCGTTTCTTCCATTTCTTCCCTTGAAATTAATTTCAAACAAAACAGTTTTTCAATGTGTTTTTTTGTAAAAATATTACTTTGAATCATCCGATACATTTAAACTTCCATACGGTTCGGATGAAAGACTAGCTATATTAAATAGAATAACACGAGTATCACTACTCGATGTAACTATAAGTTGATCGTGAAAACGATTGTATCGTGCTGACCATACCCTAAAAAATAAACCAAACAGATGAAATTTTTAAAGATCTATTTGACAAAATTTTCTCTCTGTTAAAATGAAAAATATTTCCGTCAAATAGTATTTATTCTGTAGTTATAATTGTTTTAATAATGAACAGAATGAAAAAATTGTGAAAAGACAGGAACATCAGACAAGGTAGCATAAGATATTTAATATCATTCATATTTTTTGTATCTGTCTATAAAAATCATCATATGTTCCATTATTAAGATTTGATCATACAAGATCTAATCTTTAAACTTTTGAACTAAATATTTTGTTTAAATATTAAACCCAAAAAAAACATGGTCATGAGAGACTAACCAATGAGAATGATCAGTTAATATTTTCAAACATTCATTAGGTTTTCGTACATCCCAAAATTTAACTCGACAATCATCTCCACATGTCATTAAATGATATTGACGATTAGGATTATAATCAATATCACGAACATATGGTGGATGTGCATTATCTATTGAAAATGAACATCTAAAAATAAAATAATTATTTTCAATTAAATCAAAATTTAAAAAAAAAAAGTCACACTTCATTGATCTTAAATCCCAAGCACGTATATGTGGTCCAAGAGTAGTTGCTAATTGATTAGTACTTATATGTGGATTCCATCGACAACAAGATAATTTATGAAGTGCACCACTTTTTGAATCAATTGAACCAGTTGATAATATTTGTGGTGAATCATGTTGTTCGATATTCCATATATAAATATTTGTTTCACTTATTGTTCCAATTCGTTCACCATTTGTTTCCCATTCAATACTAAATAAAACACAAAATAAAAATTTACTTCTTGTCAAGTTATAGTTTCTCTTTCGTACTCAATTATATTTGAGTTAGGAACATTTAAATCAAATCTTTTTCGTAATGGTTGATGAAGTTGATTTGATGAATCATCAATTATTGCCGAACTTGATTCATCATTTGTAGAATCTATGGGAATTTGCCATACTGTGCATTTACTCACAACATTAGAATCTTCAACTAAAAAATTTTATTTAAAAATTCGATTCCAAAGAGAAATTTCTTTTTACTAGTTTGATATATCGTTGCAAAATGACGATGATCATTTGGTGATGAAGCCATACGCCAAATTTCTCCAGCTCGATGAGCATAGATTGACTTACCTAACATACCTGATTCTTCATCATATTCGAGAAAATGAACCTGAAACAAAAAGAAAACAGCAAAAATTTCTATTTTTCTTTTCTTATTTTGTTTTTACTTGATTTTCAAATTTAATTGATTGAGTACCAACTAGAAAACGAACTGTATCATCATCTTGTACACCACTAACTGCGCATAATGCTCGAGCCTATTATCAAAAAAAAAAAAGAAAAATATTTTTCAAATTACATTACATATTTATTTTCTTACTTGAAATTCTACACCATAAATCAAGGGTGCTTCATCATCATCAACCATTTTGTTTGATATTGATTTATGGTTGATGATCAATATCTGAAGAAAGAGAACAAACGAGAAAAGAACAAAGTTTTTTTTTTATTTGCACTTGTTTCTTTCTTCCTACTAAATGGTTGTCTGATATTGTCATTATAGTTGTTCTTTAAATAAGCCGATTACTACGATTACAAACGAAAAAGAAAAAAGAATATATCGGGAGTATTTCTATGAAGGTACAATTCTATACGCATACAAAAAGAAAGAAAGAAAGAAAGAAAGAAGGACAGAAAAAGGCAAGCTGAACAAATGTCTCGATACAACTTATATATAGGTGATGAACTTTATTCTAGATTTTTCATTCTTTCATTTATCGATTTGATTATTTATTGATGAATTTTTTATCAATCTATATTTGATAATGACTAACAAAGACAATGAAACTTCGACAGATACGGTGACATCTGAATCAAAAACCATAGCATTACATGAAAATAATTCAACAATGTTGTCTACCGTCCCTTTAAGTAATTCCACTGGTGAAGAACAATCTAAACAAAATACTAATAATGATCAAAATAATATTTTATTTGAAAAAGATTCTCAGGATAATCAATTAATAGAAGTTCAAAAAGAAGAACAACAATTAGACGAACAACAACAAGAAACAGAAGGTGAAGATGATGAATTTATTCGAATAACTGCGGCTCATCAAATGTTAACTGAAGGTAGATAAAAGAAAAAAAGAAAACAAAAATTTATTTTTAAAAATTATGTTTTAGCACAAACATATGACGAACAAAAAAAATATCCCGCTGCATTACATCTTTATCGTATATGTGTTGATCTTCTTCTTGAAGAATTAATGTTTACTGAAGGTACAGAACAATCACGTGTTTATTTACGTGAAAAATGTACAGCTATTATGGATCGTATTGATTTACTTAAAACAATGCTTGATCCAATCCCACCAGCATCATCACCACCACCATTGTCACCACCACCACCACAGCTTACAGAAACAGAAACAACAACGACAACAACAAATGAAGAAGCAACTAACCCACCTACCGAGGAATTAAGCTCACTTAATTTATCCTAGATTTCTAGAACAAAAAAAAAAAACAAAATAGCCAACATACATATTTAGGTCAATCTTTATTTGTGTTTTTTTTTTTTTATTCAAGAACATTCCATGTATTAGTTAGACAAAAAACAAACGCTTCTTGTTAGAATTCTTTTTTTTTTTCTGTTTTATTTCAGCTTTCCCATTTCATGCACGCTTATTCTGTGTATATAATAAAAAAAAACAAGCCACTAGCATAACAAAATGAGAAATAAAATGCACAAATATAGAAATCAAACTGATAATTATACATATATATATATATATGATGGATAACTTCAGAGATTCTTTCAAACAACAGAAAAAAAAAAGAACATAAGACGTTCTAAAATAAAGATGAGGCAAAGTCGAAGGGAAACACCATATACATATACATATGTCAAACTCCCCGCTTATATTTTGAAAGACAGACATAGAAAAAAAAACAAAAAAAAAGCAAAAACAAAATGAATCACAACTTATTGTCCACCTTGGGCAAAACAAGCAATCATTGTCATACATTTGTAAATATAAATGATCAATCTTTACCAGAAGAAAAAGAAAAAAACAAGAAAAATATTTTACCACTGGGGGGGGAAAAAAAATAAAAGAGACAAGAAAACGATAAAAACAACTAAATATATTCACAGGTGTGCTTCCGAAAGGTTTTTGGTTTATTGTATTGAGCCTTATAGAAAGTATACATGTAATCTTATCCTTAAACAGCACATTATCATTGATTTTTACATAGCAGCTTGGACGGATTGACGCTAAAATATATTAATCATATTCAATAGATAAATATATATACTACAATAATTTACCCAAATATTGAGAATATCAGTTACGGTATATTGAGGAGGTAATTTAAATAGATAAGAAACAAATAATGTCGAGATTTGTTCCAACAATGGATGGCCATCTAAATAGATAAAATCAAATAATTTCTTTTGTCTGATTTAATATAGATAAATATATGAATTTCGATTATTTTTTTTTTACATATTGAAAAACAAAAGAAAACAAAAATTTATTTGACTAAGATTTAATATTATTCATTATTAGAGCTAAGATAATTAGTTGAGTGAACAATGATAAATATGAACAAATTCCGATAGAAATTTGATATTATTTAAACATTATATTTGTCATTGCAATTATTTGTCTTAAAATTTTATAAAAAAAATTCTTTGTCTTTTAATGTTTATCAAACAGTTTATTGAATCAACGACTGATATAAAATAGAATGCGAGATGAATAAGAAAAATTTGCATTTGAATTCAAATTAAATCAAATGATTTATCATTGAAAATTCTTTTTTTTCAAAAAACAAAATACATTCTTATTGATTTTTAAATTATTTTATTTGCAAATGAAGATTTTAATCAATTTAATTTGTAACTTAAAATATTAGCATCAATACTTTCAACTTCATTCATACAGTAATCGAGACACACACAAATTAGTACAAAAATGAAAGAAAAAATTCAATCATAAAATACTTTCTCCTTAAGAAGTTAAGATCATTAAAGATTATATCATCAACAGATTACATATGAGCTTTTCTTAGAAAAGTTGTTTATCATCTGTTTTAGATTTATGTTAAAAATAATAGATTGTAGTCAAGGTTTTGTTAATTCATGTAAGCCGCGAACGAACATACTCTATTTATTTATGTAAAGAATATTTATTTTATTTTTATAAAGATCATTGAAAATAATTGATAGAATATTTTGAAGAATTTTATTGAAAAAGTTCTATATTTAAATATTCTATTAGAAATAATTCTTTTATTTACCTGAAAATTCAAGTTTTGGTGGCATAGATTTTGTTAATGACAAAATTTCTGGTTGTTCTTGAGGATAACGTGTTGAAATGCGTAGTCGTAATGATGGTATAAGAGGATTTGGTGATTCTAATAATTTACATCGAATAATAATACCATTTTTATATAAATAATCATCATTTAATTCATTATTATTTATTTTATGTGATATTGGTAAATATTCAATAAGAAAAGTATTAGCTGGTAATAAAACAAATTCATCATTAAGATAAGATAATAATGATGATGATTGACTTGATGATGAAATATTTTCTGGTGTTATTCTAATGCTATTTGAACTATTATCATTATCAAGACGAATTTTCCTATGTAGAGAAACAATTTAACAAAAAAAAAAAACAAAGGTTTTCTTTTTTTTTTGTCAAATATAAATAAACTAACTTATGTGGTATACCATTAACAACATCACTTAATGGTTCAATGAATAATTTACTTATAAAAAGTCGTTTTTTTTGGTCACGTGAAATATATTCATTAAGTGCTTTGTCAATTTGATTTAAATCATGTGTTTGTGTTGGCATTGAAGTATTTGCTACTGTTACATTTGATACTGATGAAGTTGATTGTTGTGATCGACTCTAAAAAAAAAAAAATTTTTTTCTTTTTATTATTTAAGAAATATTTCAAAAAAGATATTTACAGTAGCTCGTTCAAGATTATCACGAATATGTTTTGCATTTACTAAACTTTCATGAGTTGGATTATTAATAAATTGAATCATTTGTTGATGAACAGCTAGTGCATTACGAGCTTTTTCTGGAAAACCTTTATTTTTTAAAAACGAAGAAACATATGAAAGTTTTGTTGTAAATTTATTTGAATTACCTTCATTTGTAAATTTTTGACATAATGCCTGAATTTTACCAATATTATCTTTAAGATATTTTATTAAATTAATGGTTTCTTCATCTGGACTTGAAATACTACCACTTCCTGAATATAAACATGTATATATATATATAGGATTATTTAGTTATTGGTTTGTTTTTTGGATTATATAATATATCATTAAGATGTAGAAAAGTTAGATAACAAAAATTGATCAATCTTTTTGTTAATATTTATTACAATTATATATTTAGTCGATAGAATTTATTTGAAGAGTATTTATTTCGATTTAGAATAGGTATTCGATATTTTCAAACGATGCAGAGATACATATTTATGAGTATATGTAAAAGCTGATAGAACAATATTTCATGAGAACTTAATCAAATAACTTTTTTTAAATGAGCTTGAAATTGCTCAAAGATTCGTTTGATTGTTTTTGAAAGAAGGGATTAAACTGATACGAAATGCTTAGTAAACTGAGTTGATGTGAAATATGATAACAACCTGTATTAATTCAAGTCACTCGAGATTAGACTATCTATACCAATTTTTAATGTTTGATGTAGATATATTACATTTCTATTAATAATAGTTGGGTAAATTCATTTTCGAAAGTAAGAAAATACTTTTTTTATTATTTAACTATTAGATTGAACTAGTGACGATCAAAATAGATGTAATTGATACTATAATCAATGAGAAATAGAATGATTTAAATATAATATAGATTATAAGTTGAATCAATTTCGAATTGGTTTAAGTAAAAATTTAAAATGAAATGCTCAACTAAAGGATAATTTAATATTGAAATGAATAAAATTAATTAATTAAAATCAAATTAAACTTTTATAAATCGATTATTTAGAAATTTAAACTTTAACAACTAATAAATATTAAATATTAACCTGTTAATGGTAATGAGCGATTCATTGGTGATGAATAATTATTAAATGATGGTGTCGAACTATTCATTGTTATTGATGATGGTTGTGGCATGGTTTGTGTATTTACCGAAAATGGTCCATTGTTATTATTTAAAGGACTTTGTTGAATAGTAACATTACTTGATCTTTAAGAGACAATGAAAAGAATCTTTTTGTTTTTTAAATAATGAAAACTAAAAATGTTACGGTTGAATTTGAACATTTGATAATGGAGCTTGAGGTGTTGTTGACATTATTGTAACCGATGGTGAAGGTGATGGTTGTTGAGATGCTAATGATGATCGAAGGGAATTTATACTGTTAACCATACTACTGTTCGTTGCATTGGCTAAACGAATTGGTTGTGACTATGAAAAAAACAAAAGAGACACATAAAATATTTAGTAGAATATTGTTCATATCATAAAAAGATACTTTTGAATGAAATTTGATTATTTTTTTCTTATTTCAATTTTTTTATCTAATTCTTCAACAGCAAAGAAGACATATATCAATTTGTATCAGAGAAGCTTAAGACATTGTCAGGAAAATAGAAGAAAATTTTTCAAATATTTTTTCGCTTCGAATAAATCAAGTTTTTTTCTAATTGACAACTTAGGTCAATGTACGATTGCTTATTGTTATACTTTAAAAGTTCTATGTATGATCATCTTTGAATATTATATATAATAAATTTTATATTAAGAGTAGAAAAATTTTAATCTCTGACAAAGATTGTTAATACAATAAAAACGCATTAGAAAATAATAATAATTCGAGAATTTTCTTTGAGAAGATTTAAAACAAAAATTGAACTTGTCTTAAAGATTTTTCTTTAACGTACCATAATCGATGCTGTTGATTGTGGTAATGATGGTTGTCGACTTTGTATAGACATTTTATTTGATGTTCCATCATTATTAGCCAAAAGTATTTGTTGTAATACTAAAATAATAATAAAATTGGATTTATAAAAAAAATTTTTCTCATTAGATTACACTAACATCTATCACCGGTTGAAGATGTATTTGTTACTGGTGTTACCATTGATGATAATGGTGATGATGATGATGATGATGATGGTGCCATTGAATTTGTTGGTGGATTTCCAACAACAAATTGATGTAAAATATCATTTGCATTATTCGATGTTGATATTTGTGGCAAATTTCCTAAAATATATAAAATCAATTTTAATATATTTTAATTCTCATCAAAATAAAATAAATTCAATAATAAACCATTAGAATTCGTTGCTGTACGTAGTCGTGGATTTATTGTTTGTGGATTTGAATATCGATTTTGAACTAGTGTTGATTGAGATAAGTAATCATTAAGATTTGTATTACTTATTTGTTGTTGACCTGCATAATTTTGAGATAAATCAATTTTTTGTACTGTTGATGATGTTGAAGCTGAATTAAGTGATGATGGTGATGATGTAAATTGAACTGTATTCAGAGATGCTAGAATATTTAAAAAATAAACAATTAAAATGAGAAGTAAGAAAAAAAAATAATATTTTACATTGATTGAATTTTTGTGGATCACGTAGTCTTACAACTTGATTGAGAATACCTGTTTGTGTATTAATAACACCCGTTTGTGGATTTGCCATACGAGGTTGTAATGATTGTTGTGTCGAAGAAAAACGAATTTGTTGATTAAGCATTGTATTTAATGGATGTTGTGATTGATTAACCATAGGTACTGATGATTGTTGTGAAAGATTCAATTGTTGATTTGTATATTGTGCATTATTATTTAATGATTGTAATGTTTGTTGTTGCTGTGGTTGTTGTTGTTGTTGTTGTTGCTGTTGTTGTTGTTGTTGCAATTGTTGTATTTGTTGTTGTTGTTGTTGTGCACGATTTTGATATGCGTCTAAGAATTAGTTAAAATATAATATTTTGATTTTTGACTTCCGTTTCTATCCATTACAATAAGAATGGCTTCTAATTTTAGCTTTCACTATAAAAGTGCGATGTTTAATTAATAGGGCGAACGGTTTTTATCCATTTTATAATTAACAAAAGGTCATGTGTTTTTTTTTGTTTCTGACATATAATGAATAAAAAAGTAGTAGATGCTTCAGTCAACGTGATAAACATCTTATGAATTTATTAAATAATAACACTCACTTTGAACTTGTTGATGATAATTTTGAACAAATTTATAATAAATAGGCTACGATAAAATATCAAAAGCTAATTTATTGTCATTTTCAATTAAATAATTTACTTTAACACCACGTGATTTGTCATATGCAAGACTTTCGACTCGTTTTGACAAATCCATGGTCCATTTTGTAGTTCTATATTTAATGAAAAGTACAAAGAAATAGGATACACTTCATAGACAACAAAAAAAACGCATTGTCTCCACTTACAATCTTTGAATTATAGCTTCTCGTTCAGATGCTGTCACTAATGTTTGCCCATTAGTATCTGTTTGCTGTTGCACAGCTGTATCCGTCATCATATCTAGTCAAAAGAAAAGGAAAAAAAAATCTGTTGTCAACTTTCCACAAAGAAAAGCGGAATAATCAAGTATGAAATCAGCGATTTTTAAAAGTCTCTCGAGTAGGAAAAAGACTCAACAACACAAGAAAAAAAAAGGAAAAAAAAACTCAATGGCACATGATGACAACGACAATGACATATACTTAACAACACATGGTGATAAGACAAGAGCGATAATCTAGGAATAGAGAAAATATAACCGACAAAGAACAAGAAAAAAAAAAAGCTTTAACGACAAAAAAAGGCACACAAAAGACAAGATTAAATATCGCAAATTTTATATATACAAAAAAAAAAAAAAAAAAAAAAAAACTTAAGATAAGTAGTTAGCTAGAAAGTTTTTGTCGTTGAACTGTATTTTTCTGTTGTAATGGACACTGTGCTTTAAGATGATCAGTACTATTACAAATATAACATTCTTTTCTAAACTGATTATGTTGATGTGAACGATGTGAATTATTTGTTGGTTCTTCCAATGAATTATGAAAGTCTCTTCGTTTTTCATTGGTTGTATATTGAAATGGACGTTGATTAGGTGGAGCAGATTTTGGTTGTTGATATCCATTACCATTATTATTAGATTGTACATAGTCTCGAGACTTATTTGATAAATATGTCGAGTGATTGTTCATATAATGTTGTTGTGTAATATAATTAGTTGTTCGTTTTTTCTTTTCGTTTTCATTTGCTAATGATGCTAATTTTGGACAACGTTTTCGAATATGATATGGACCTCTACACCATTCACATCGTTTTGGTGCATTTGTTGGACATAAATCATCAATATTAAATAATGTTTCCTATTCATATTTAAATTTAAACTTTTATTCTATTTTAATAAAAGATTTTGTTTTCTTTATGAAAAGTTTTTGTTTTGAAAATCAAAAAAAAATTGAAAAATTATAGTTGTTTTTTTTTATTCACAAGCAAAAAATTCTAAGTTGATAAAAACACTATTCATTGTATTATCTTATGTCATACATTTATTCGCACTACCAGCAGTAACGCTGACGATTTTCGATTCCGGCTATAAACGATTATAGAAAGCAGGGGCGTACCTAGGTCTCCAGCAGGGTTGCCAAACCTCCTGATTTGGTCAGGAGTCTCCTGATTTTCAAACTTTTCTCCTGATAAAAATTCTCCTGAATTCAGGAGCTGATTGTGAGGATTTTCTCCTGATTTCTACTGATTTTCAAATTTTTAATGGCTTCGGTTTTAGCGACATTTTGAATCGGTAAAAAAGCGTAGAAGAGAAAGAGCACTGTTAAACGTAGAGGTGATAATCTCTTAGCTTATCTTCTTGGTAGTGAAAATGTGCCTAATGCACAAAAATTAGCCCCGTTATCTTTTTGCCGTATCTATCTTCAATATGTGTTGAGAGTGAATTTTCATTCATCTGAAATTTTTATAAAATGATAATAGAAATCGAACCACAAATCATTTTGTTGATGCAGAATTGAGAATTAGAATGAACGGTCATTCCGATTGTAGAGTTTCATAATTATTTCTTAAATAATCAAGAATTGTCAACACGAAGTTTTCTCGGCAGAAAAATGTAGGCATGTTGCCAAAAGTTATGCCGACAGGTCGTAAACATTTTGTATGGCATATTCGATTTATTTTGCTTTTTGGTTCTTGTCATATCGTTATAAAATATTTGTGCCTACTTTCTTTATATCGGTAAATGAACAAATGTGAAAATACCAGTAGAATAATGCACATATAATTACAGAAATGTCTCAAAATCTCGAAAAAATTTCAAAAACTCCAGAAAGGAAAAATCTTGAATATCAGAATCGTCGAAAGGAACATCTCGAAAGAATAAATATCGAGCGTTCCTCGATGACCATTCTAAAATAGCAGGTAAAACACACTGGCATCCCGCCAACACTTTGTAAAAAAGAGGAAAAAAAAGTGGCTCAGCATTCTTGAAAAAAAGGATTTTTAATAAAAAAAAGGAGAAAAAGAGGCATAAAGTTTTCGTCCAAAGAAAACTAAAAGCCACTGACACAATAGTACTATAAATCCGACAAAACTCGCAAGTCATCAATATAGGTTGAATATGATTTGAAAGAGTAAAAGAGAAACGAAACTTCCAATTGTTCATAGAGCCTATTGTGCAACAGCTTATGTATGCATTAGAAAACTGGAAAACATTAGAAAAATAGTGTATTCTATTTGCGTAGTATCTGACTATAATATAATTCTGTCTGACTAAGTGGGCACAGAAATCGAAACGATCAGAATTCATTAAATGCCGTTTTTGCTTTTTGTTCCTTTTTTCGGATGGCTGCGCATGTGAGAAAAAGAAGTTTTTTTGTTCTTTTCAATTTTCAGGAATTCTTTAATGATGCTGATCATTTTTCGCAAGTCAGTTTCACTTTTTCGTTTCCCAGCTTAACCTAATACATTGCTTGCAAGGGCGCCCATACAGTGGATTTGTGAGAAATCGTTTGACCCCCGTGCTATCGAAAACGCTTGATTTTTCCCAGCGAAAACTGGTCATCTTCTTGTGTTCTGTAGAAAACGACATACGCGTATTGAGTAGGTTGTACGATCCCTGCTTTTTGATTACCGCCCCCCCCCTCTCCCTATTTGTTACTATCTCATTCCATCGTATCCGATGTCTTCCAAGTCTCATCAAACCGTTGTCAATATTAACCTATGCCAAACAGACACGCTCGTAATCGGAGAGAGACGGCGTTTCACAATGGCTCAGTATTGCAACTGTATAACTTCGTGATCGTATGCGCAGAAATACGATCGTTTATGGACAAACAAAGCTCGTCAACAGTTTTCGCTTTACTCTGTAATTCTTTCTATACGATTATATTTCTCCGTGTACAATTTGGAGACATACGATCGTCCAAAATGTGATTGGGAAGAGAGGAGTTACTTCATTTTGACAGTAATTCAATCGCATAAGGTAATCTATCAGCATACCACAAGATCTGTAATCAATCCAGCAATTTTGAAGAAACAGATATTGCCGAATACAACATATCCGGCGTAAGAAACACGCCGAAGCATTATGAAACCGCTCAGTTTCGTAGTTTTTCAGCCTCTTTTCGATCCGTTGTTGACTGTTCCGGCGATCGAAACGACAGACCCGAGATTGTACTATGAACAAAGTAGACAGGTATATAGACATAGATTTATTCGAGATTTTTTGTTTCAAGATTTTCAATTTGAGATATCGAGACATATTCATGATTACCCGTCTCTTTTCTTTATTTCACTTGCGAGATAATTATTTCCCTACTCATTTGACAGAGAAAAGTCACAAGACTTTGTAAATTAACAGTGACAATATTGCCTCTACAAGAGAAAACTGTCTGATACTTTTCTGTTTAACCTGATTTCAAAAAATCTGCTGATTTTTCTCCGAATTTTTTGGAAGTCTTCTGATTCTCTCTTGATTTTTCTCCTGATTTTCTAGAAAAAATCTACTGTTCAACTTCTGATTTTTTAAAAAAAACTCCTGATTTCTAAAATTTGGATTTGGCAACCCTGGTCTCCAGAGCGGAGAGGGGAGGGGCGTAAGGTATTCTAGAAAAGAGATTTTTTTCTATTTTGTTGTCTAAAAAAACAAAATTTTCAGAAGCAGAGGGGCGTAATACCCCACTCGCTCCCCACTCGGTACGTCTCTGAGTATTTGTTTGGTTCGAATTGCATGGGATATTTTTACCTCAATAGATGACATATCGGGATTTGAAATATTGACATTTTCAGGTTGTATAGCAAATTGTTGACGAGCACGAATAAAAACTCGTCGAATAATAATCCAGTCTAAAAGAGATTATTCTTTTATTTTATTAATTTCAAGATAAATTGTTTTTGTTTTTTGGTTTTTATATATACTTCGCGGAGATAGACCACCGGCTAAATTATGACTTAGTTCAAATGGATCTTCAATAGCTATGGTTTGTCTAAACCATCCTTTTTCTTGTTTTGTTAATGGTTCAATTTGTCGAATCGTTACAATATGTTCTTCATAATTAAATTGTTCAGTATAGAAACGTAAAAATTCTATCCATAATGCTCCAGATGATAATTTATTTTCATTTTTCCAAATGTCTTTCTATACAAACAAACAAAAACAAAGAAAATTTAATTTTTTATATAATTTCAAAAATAATGTTATTTCTACAAACCAGTTTAGATAGATCGTCATAAAAATACACATTCCATTTTGAACATTTTTTATACATTGAAGTTTTCTTTGTCGGATCATTTAACTAAAAACGATTATTTTTTGAAAGAATAAAATTAATCAAAAGCAAAATTGTATCAAATAATTGAAAACCTTTTGAAGAACTGGTAAAACAGGTGGTTGAATTTGTTGTAAAAAATGAATAAGCATAATAATATATGCATAACTGGATAATGTACCACGACTTGCATCACCAATACAACATAACTAAATTTCATAAAAAAAATATTTGTTTATAATTGTTGTTTTTTTTCAACATCGGAAGTTTATTTAGAAATAAACAAATATTAGGAAATTGAAATTGATAATTAAAAAAATATTTATTTGGAATTTTATTATTTGTCTATTTGATTATAATTTAATAGAGGAAAAAAAAACGTCGAGAAAAATGGAAATGAATTTCCAGGTAAAAACTGTCGTGATATCTTATTGAAATACGTAATAGTTAATATAATCGTTTAATACCTCCATACGCGATTGAATTATTTAAAAAATATCTTAGTTAAATTCATTCATAAGATTTTAATTATTGAATGAGATTTAAATCGAAATAAGAGGGTTGTTTTTTCTTTTAATTGTTTTTTAGTAATTAAATGTATTGTATTTCTATCTTTATCTATAATAAGAAGGTGCTCGATTGGTAAATAGATTAATAAACAACCTTCATCCAATGTCTTTTTTTTTTATTCTTTGTTAATTAGAGTTATGAAAAAAAAACAGCATTTATTCACTGATTAAATCGTATT